TGAATTGGTCTAACTATCAGGGTAGTAGGCAATTCAGTTTATTTAGTTAGGTATATAGTTTTTCAGTACCGGTAAGGAATTTAGGTGTAATAAGATACTAAGTTAAATTTATTTTTTCTTGTATTGACTTGGCTAATGCAAGTTATTGTCAGTTTGGCCCAATAAATGACTTATTAGTACTGTGAATAGTCGAAATACTCACTAGTGCGGACGTTAATCCACACCAGGGAGTATTGCATCCAGAGTGCATGCCTATAAATAGGCCTATCCACAATTTGTGACCTCCTAGTAGCTGGATTACAGGATGAGCTACCGTCCCAGTCAAATAGGTGAGATGTATATTTGAATAAAGAATGCAAAGTCATAAGTTGGACTTTTATAAGGGAAGCGCCAAAATACAGAAGGCTATAAAGTTAACCTGTGACAATCCTTACACCTATTTTACTGTTATGATGGAATGAATGGCCTATGGATCATCTGAATGGCAATCTAAACTTGTATTTAGTAACTTATTTTTTACATTGGATGAATAACTATTTATTTTACTGTAATTCAGCTATACAGTACAAGATATTGCCGGTAACTATTGATTTTAGTAGCTATAGTAAACATAACCTACAAATTGATACTTGCTTTAAGACGACCCACTAGTGTCAGGAACTGCAACGTATTACCAAGGTTAGAAGAACTCATTTGTGGACTTAATATGTTTAGTTAATTGTCAGGTTTAAAGGCAACTCAAACTTCTCTTGTCTAATGATTCAACAATTTGATGACACTCAAAGTTGACAGTGACAGCCCTAAATAAATAGATGCCCCTAGTCTAACCTAACGAGCGCAGCGCACTAGTGAATAGCAGAAGCAGACGACATTGACGACAACGACTTTAATTTGAAGTTCTTCTCTTCCCGAATTATCATTGGTTTTGTATTTAGCGCACAGCTGGTAAAGAATACAGCTATGAAGCCTTACTGATTTGTGCTATTTGTTGATTAATCATTAGTTTATACATAATCTATAATTTAGTTGCACTATGTATGAGTATCACATAGGTACTTGTATGCATAAAATATCACAGTTCGTATTTAATCAGAGTCCACGATATTTCAAAGACGTACCTAGTAAAAAATATTGGTATGGTTTAAGTTCTTCATCCTAATTCAAGAAGGCACATCAAAGGTTACAGTTAGCTACATTGATACACTATTGTTGCAGACAAATTGCTGCATATTTACATATTATTATGCTACTTCATAATGTAGCAAATATGCCTAATACCTTTTTTGTCCTAAGACGCTAGGCACGAGCCTGGGATTGTTTTTCACATTACTTTAGACCTGACCTGGGGTTGCGGCATTATCACTTAGAGTAAATCCATTGGTGATTTGGCGGGATTTGAACCCGGTACCTCAGGGACTGAAGAGTGAAGAGACCCGCGCTGTAACCACTAGACCAGCTCGCTCCCCGATATGCCTATAACTGAACATCATTAATCAATGTGAGCAAAACACAACTTGAGAAATTATTGTTTTTGGGCAAATGCCTACCATAATTCGATCATTCCATCCCCCACAGCCCCGACTTCAGCTGCAAACGAAACGCTACCTCTTTTATTGGGCATTGGTTGACCCAAAAGTCTAACTATTCCCTCTCTTTTCCTAATGATGGTACCATAGTGCGGCGGACAGAACTATAACATAAAACCCTCTTCAGCCGATCCATAACCCACACTGCGTAACAAACCTATTCCAAGCTTGTTCCAAGCTTAGAACACTAAACTTACAAACTTTAGTTTTAGCTTGGGTAAACCAGCTTACGCTTAAATAAGTCTTGTTTTAAGGTTCGAAGTTTACACTTTTTCAACTTGTTATAAGCTTAGGTTTCCAAGCCTAACCCAAGCTTGGAGCTACAGGCTAAAAACTGACTTGTGTTTTAAAAAACTAAAATAACAAGCTTGGGTAAACCATCTTATAAGCTAGTTTAATAGGCGTGTTTTAAGCCTCGGAAGTTAGTTTACACTTTTTCAACTTGTTTTAAGCTTGGTATAACCTTTCTAAAGCAAGCTATCTGTGAGATGAAAAATGAATTGCTCATTTAAACTTTAAAGTAATGGAAGAGGATGAGAAATCTACTAATACAAATACAGTATATTTTTTATCTAAGGTGGTACTTCTTCTTTTGTTAGGCTGGAGACAACCTCTGTAGGCAAACCCCTATAAGGAATGTAATAGCTATTTACATTACAAGTGTAGTAAGAGCGTTTTTACATCACGCAGGTGAAAGTTGTGCAACGAGCGAAGCGAGTTGCATAATTTACCTAAGTGATGTAAACACGCTCTTGCGTAACGTGTAACGTACAAGATTTTACCTGACCCGACAATATACAGGAGGTTACGAACAATATTTTTCATTACCCATTTCACTCATCTTATAACAGTAAGGTTCATTTACAAACAAAAGCTAGGTTAAGAACATTCTCCAAAACATAACAATAACAATAAAATTAAAATTCAAGCACACAGCTGATTTCTAGCGTTAAACGCACTGAGCTAAAATTATAACTGGAGGTAGCACTGCCATGGCAGAAGTCTGTCAAAAGCGTGTCGCTGATTTTGTTAGGTTGGTATAGCAGTAAGTTTTCTTACCATAGCAATAACATGGCTTCTTATAACTAGGTTGGTATAGCAGTGAGTATTTTTGTCATACTTGAATACTTTTAATACTTTAATAATTTTCTTTGAAATGGCGACCATACAAAGTAGGTATTTTAAGCCAAGTATAATAATAGTTATAGCAATAATATGGCTTCTTATGACACCAGACTCACGCAAACATGGCGGCTGGCGACACGCATCTTTGACATTCAGTGCTACCTCCAGTTATAATTATAGCTCAGTGGTTAAACGTCGTTGGCTCCATAGAGTTATATTTTTTAAGTTATCCACTCAATGTTATTAAAAGGGTTTCATTACATCACCGAGTGAGTTTTTTGATACTTTACCTACATCACTCGAGTAGTAAGGAAGTTGTATACATCACGCTTAGGCGGGTTAGGTAAAGTATATTAACAACTACTCTAAGTCTAAACTGTTATAAAGTGTTACTAGTGTACATGTTGCTCGAAATCGAGCAATTGCAAAGAAGTACAGGAGCTATCTATAAACAAATGACTTGTTTAAAAACTAATAACAGTCATAATTTCCGATTATTTTAAAAGAGTTGACTAAAAGATTATTAACTAATGGAAATACTCACAATTTATATAACAGTTCTATTCCAGTTTAAAGGGTTAATTTTTAACTATCAAACTGCCTATGGACGGGAAATGGTAAGCTTACAATTTAAGTCAACGTAAAAAGGCTGTCAGCTTTTATAATGCACCATACCTAAGCTTTTTAGCCAATTTGTAGACAATAAGGTGTAGGCTACTTTAAACTCTACAGAACAGAGTTAGGCAAAAACTGGCAGAACTCTGAAATGGTGTTATTTATCATAAGCATACTCATGTTGTTTTATTTTTTTTGGATCAGCTGTCTGAAATTGTGAAATAGACATTTGATGGTTCTGGTTGTTTACATTTAAATGTCAAAACAAATGTAAACATTGTGAATGTTCTCATGCTTCCATGGAAACCGATTTTTAATATTTAATTTCTGACAACAGCTGAAGTTTCAAAACAATGTTTGTTTCCCATGTTAATCTTATGGAGAAATACGAAACTTTAAAGGGCCCCAGGGCCTCACTCTCTAATTATTTCCCTAAAAAGAAAGTTTCCTGCACAACTTCACGTTACGCTCTTTCCAATGACACCAAAAACATGTCAATCGGTTCAGTAGTTTCGGAGAAGTAATTGTCACAAAAATCCTGTTTGCGTATTAAATAAGTTCTAGTGTCCCTGTTGCTCGAATTCGAGCAATTGCTAAGTATTACAGGTGTTATTTTCTGACGACTTTAAAAGATACGACTCAAAGATTTTGGGAATACTGATGTACATAACAGATCGATATAATAACAATTTCTTGTAAATATCTTATCATTTTTCAAAACCTGATCTTATATTTTAGTGTTTTCTTCAAATAGCCTTACTCACAGCCGCATTAGGTTGTCCATAACAACGATTATAAATAACAATAAAAAAACATTATTTATATTTCTTCTCCTTGGTGGTGTTCTATGACTCCTATGTTTCCATAGTTTGCAAATCGGCTATTTCAATGATTACTAAGAAATGCAGCACAGTGTTAATTCAGTTTTCTTTGTAATATATCAATTTATCCAGGCTCTCTCGCTTTTTTCAATTGTAATATTTACGCCAACCCAAATTCAAATAGTAAACATTTCATTTCAACCAAGTCAGTAAATGTTTGTAACAAACTGTCAAATTAGAAACTTATTGACTGTTTAAAATTAACATATGTCCTTCTTCTCACTTTTAATTTCTGACAACAGCTGGAGTTTCATAAACATTTTTGTTTCCCATGTTAATCTTATGGAGAAATACAAAACTTTAAAGGGCCCCAGGGCCTCACTCTCTAATTCTTTCCCAAAAAAGAAAGTTTCCTGCACAAGTTCACGTTACGCTCTTTCCAATGAGACCAAAAACATGTCAATCGGTTCAGTAGTTTCGGAGGAGTAATTGTCACAAAAATCCTGCTTGCGTATTAAATAAGTATAGATAACAGGAATATAAAATCTGTTACAGAATGTATATAGAACAAAGAGTGCTGTAAATATAATTTTGTAAATATCCTACAAACATCAAGCAATATGATTTTCAGTTAAATTTGAACACTGCTGAAAATGAACTGTAATTAATGTTAATTTACTGTCACTGACTATAAATTCACTGATACCTGTTCAGATTCAGTTCATTTAACATTCAGCTGTAATTTTAAATAAACAATCATCATTATGCTGTTTATAGTTTCATCCACTGTTTCATCTTCTTCAGTTGTTTATTTACTAACCTATGAGAAGAAATATTAATACTTGTCCTCTATTTGAAATCTTAAGAATCAATTATTGTTATGTTTTGTGATTTATATGTACAAAGTTATATCTCAAACAGTATCATCAAACAATTGTAGCAGTGAGTTAGTACTCTACCACAATATTTAACTTAATCATGGATATTAAAATTACAATAGAGATTAAACTTTATATTGTACTCTTGGTTAAGCTGATTTAAATAAATAACCTCTCTGACATTTACTTTTAAAAACTACAATCTTTAAAGATATATTTTTTAGATTTTGTCTTTCATCACTATTTCTCTTTATTGTTGATTATAGCAAGATGTCTAATTTAATAGTACTAGAAGAATCACCAAAACTGTTAGCAAAACTTAGATATCCAAATCCATTGCATTATCGGACATAGTATCATTTGCAACAAAAACCAAAACCGAACTCCTATTGATTGTGATAAATAGGATGGATCAATCGGATATAACTTATCCTAATGATTTTATGTTCTTTTAATTTTTAATAGAGTTTATTTTAGTTTTTTCTGTGTGTTTTAACAATTTGGAATCCTTAAAATTTTACAAAATTGTAGTTTAAGACTTGGTCAATTCATTTTTAACAATGAAACAGTGCATTGTTTATTATTGCTTTTAAACAAGAGTTTAACTTTCACCATCAATATCAATTGATCAAACCTAGTTTAAAATTGTAAGCTGATGGTGACCAATAGAAGGATTTTGCTTTTTACAGAGTAAAATCCTAATTTCAAAAAAATATAACAAACTTTTACCACAGACTATAGATCAATTTAATGGTCTACTTTGTCTGTGCTTTCATACATAAAAAACTGTCAAACAAAATGTGGGACTCCTCCCCTAAAAATGGAATGAGGAATCCATTTTGGTGTAAAATTTACAAAAACTGTAAACATATGTTGGTTGTTAATAAAACCTAAGTTAATAATTTACATAATAATATTATAGGAGGGATGATTGTGAGTATGTCCAGTTGTTATTTAATGACTCAATGAGTGAAGGAGGAGAGGGAGAAACACCTGACTATAGATGTGGGTGGCTGACATTCAAACCCGATTGGCTGCAGAAATTCAACACAACTGCATGGGCTTTGGCCATTATTTCATCCGCAGCATTTTTACAAGGTAACTGATTATAGCTTGTTAGTCGTATCTTGCAAAAAAATGTGCCCTTAATATTGTATTTAACTTGTTATAATGTTATTGTTTTTTATATATATTCACTGAACTATATTATTTTAATATCAGACATCTTTTATTGCATGGAAGACTCCCTCTGTAGTTGAGGCCAGACCTTCATCTAAACTAAAATAATACCAAACCATCAGTTAACTCAACACAAAAATGAATGTATATGGAAATTGAGGGATTATTGGGAATACTTTCCGTCACGATTAGTCAAAAACAAGTTTGACTGATCGTGATGGGATAGGTCCGCAATAATCCCTCAATCACCATAAGCCCACCACCAAAAATGAACTTCGAACAATGAATTATATATTTCAGAAATACTTTACTTTCAAAATTAGTAAACAACAGAACAGCAAAAAGTAAGTAAATTCAGCAATGAAGTCTGTATGTACCACAAAAGTAAAGGCGGGGCTCTAAAGTTTAAAACACAACAATCCACTATTTTCTGTAGTAAATGGTATATGGGGTTGTCTGTTACTACTACGATTTAAATATCTCATCAGTAGGAATCGACAGTCAAAAGCATAGCCTAAGCATAAGCATAGCTTCTAATAAGATTTTCATAGTAACCAAACTAACCCAAATGATTTGCAAATATGAGGTAGTTTACCTACTTTTCATTTACTTTTAGGTGTAATTGTAAATGGGATTTTACACTTGATGATTCCAACAATTGAACACGGATTTAACCTGCGATCGTTTAAATCTGGCTTGGTTTCTGGGGGCTATGATATAGCTTCACTGTTATGTTTGATTCCCGTCACCTACCTGGGGGGACGACATCACGCCTCCAAGCCGAAATGGATTGGATTAGGAGTCTTCATTATGGGGATTGGAGCTTTAGTGTTTTCATCACCATACTTCCTGACAAAAAATACTCACATGGCGTACTTTCAAGATTCGTCTGGAATTTGTACTGATAACGAAAATACGAGTCATAAGGTACTGATTTTTTAAATCGATTTTCCCATTTTATAGAATAAGCTATTAACGTAGGTCTCATGGTAAGATTTGGACCTGGGACAGATATACTTTTTCGTTTTGATGTCCACAAAGGCCAAAAACACCCTCTGTTCAAATTCAATATATTTGTATATGTTCATTAGCTTGATAACTCAAAAGCAAAAATCATCCAATTTTGATGAAATTTGGCACTAACCTGTAAACTTTATATTGTTTTATAAACATTACATCAATTAATAGAGTTATAATAACAATTTTTTTTTTACTAAATACATACATAATATAAGCTTGCTCAATGATTTCAGAACTGCGATCATAGTGACGGGACCCATTTGTCCTCCTTCATGTGGATATTTTTTATCGGAAATCTTCTCCATGGTGCCGGAGCTAGCCCCCTCTTTACTTTAGGGGTAACTTTTTTGGACGAATCAGTCGTGAAAAAGAAAACTGGAATAACTATAGGTAATAAAAGGAAATATTTTATAATTACATACATCGATATATATTATTTATATATTTCTGTATTATGTATATTTTACTATTATTTTTTGCAAAGAATGACCAAAGAAAAATGGCAAAGGTCTACCAGCGATGGTTGGAATAGTGTTTATTCAAATTCGTTAAATAGCACACTTAACACCTCTTTTAATTGTGTGTGATTTATCTTTATCTGATTCTAGGTGTATATTATACTGCAGCAACCTTTGGGATTGCCGTAGGTTATGTGGTCGGAGGTTACTTCTTGCAGTTACCAGAAGACTTTTTGTCAGTCTCTGAAAATGTGTAGGTACATACTTTTCATAAAACTCTAGAAGTTAAGGAATTGCTTCATAATATCACAACCGGTTGTATTAATAAATTTAGCCAAATGTTATAGTTTTCCCCTCTTTTGCCATTACTTAATTAGGCCAATATTTGTATAGCTGATGAGCATAATTTTTCCAGTAACAATAATAATTGAGCCATCAGAGGTGCCATACATAAAGATTGATTTTACAAATTAAATATCTAATAAATATTTAAAACAAAAGCATTTTTTTGTGGTTGTCATTGCAATATAGATACAATTTTTTTACAAATTTTGTTTTTGTAATAAAAAATACTTATGTTAATTCAAATATAACATGCAAATTGTTACACATTCTGTTTTAGGTTTTTAACTCCAGCAAGTAAAACATGGGTTGGTGCTTGGTGGCTGGGATTTGTAATATTTGGATTCGCCAGTATAATCCTATCCGTCCCTATTTTAGCTCTGCCCGCACGAATGCCAGGTCAGTTATTCAGTAATTATAATTTTTAAAATTTACATTAACATAATTTATATACCTTAATGCATGCACATTTCACATTCTTGTGAAAATATTAACTTTGAACCACACGCAGTGACTGTTTGAACTTTTACTATTGCACCGGATTTTACTATTGCAACTTTTACTTTTGCATCGGATATAGATGCAAAAGTGCCGCCTGCTAACAACTTCAATAACAACTCAGTAAAAACTGTTTCTATTTCCCACAAACACACAGTTACGACTTACTGAAGAAAAAAAATGTTGAAATATTTTTTAAACATTTTAATTCATCCAAAATTTGATTATGTTTCATTTTTTTTCTAGGTCCATCTAGTCATGTAATTCATCTTATTTCTTCCCTTGAGAGTTTTTTTTAGCCTTATTTGTGTTACCGATACTTAACAATATTGTTATCTGAGTGATTTGTGCCCAAAAACAAACAAATGGGCTTAAAATGAACTTCATAATGATAGAATAATTTAACGCTTAACCTAGGATTTTAGTTAACCTGGCCAAGAGAGCTATGATACAATAGTTAAGTTGAAAACCCTGTTATTTGAGACCAGATTTGTCCCTCTCATAGTAGCATGTTACAAATTGAAGCATTCCTTATCATTATAGGTGTTAACAGTTAACACGATTGCTTGATCAAGACTGTTGTTTAATAATACCTACCTGACAATTATTTTTATAAACTTTTTAGGATGGGAAGAAGCAATACAATCAAAACTATCAGAGTGTGTCGTAGGAAGAGAAAGGAATGTGACGTACAGTAAACTGAAAGAGTTGCCTAAAGCTTTGAGTGAACTGATGAGAAATACAAGTTTGATCCTGCTGAACTTTGCTGGCTGTTGCGAGGGCCTCATAGTCGCCGGTTCTGGAGCTTTTGTTCCAAAAATTATTCAAAGCCAATTCAACTTATCATCTAAATCAACTGCTATGATTATGGGTAGGATGTATTGGTCGGGCAAAGAAAACTTTTACTTAACTATGAGTTGAAGATCTGCTTTTGAAGGACATAGAGTACCTATTTATTAGTTTTTGTTTGTTTGTTTTTTTTTTTTTTTTTGCTAACACAACCTATATAAGTCAAGTTGACAAAATATTGAAACTAAATACCCAAAGCAGATTGAGAAGTTCACTATTGTGGACCTTCTGAACAATACACTAAACACTTGTTGTCAACATCACTTTGTCTATTTAAGAAATGTTGAATTGAAATAATGATGTTGAAGTAATGGAATATATGTTTTATTGAAAGTTCAATCAGGGGTCCCTTATCAAAATTGGATTACAAGTTTCAATAAACTATAGGTAAACTGATACAAAAATGTTATGGGGACTTCGAGAACACACATTTTGAACCACATTAAATTGTTGATCATTTATATTATCTAGTTTGAGTATTATACGGATTGAGTACATAGCAAGCTCAGTTTTCTTAAAAAGGATAAACCAAAGCGGACAACGTTTTCTTGCTTTGATTATTGACGTTACATTTAAAAATTTACCCATTACTCTTTGTCTTGTACACAGGAATGTTAGAATTTCTTAAGACCAAATTAATTCTCATGAAAACCTTAAAATGAAACTGAGAAAATTTGAATAATATAGTCTTATTGTTGTAAAATGTGTGAAAGTCTTTAAATAAGAGGGTGAAAATGTTTTATTAATGTGTGATATTTATTAACATACAATCGCTTTCCACTCAGGTATCATTACAGTACCAAGTGCCATTCTCGGATGTATGGTTGGAGGTGGGATACTGAAGAAGTTTGACCTGAGGTTCATCGGAACACTGAGGCTGTGTATTGGTACTTGTAGTTTGTCGATGCTGTGCGCCTTTTGTTTTCTCATCTACTGCGCGGACGAAAAGATGGTCGGAGTCAATATGCCCTACTACGCTGATAGGTGCTGTTAATCTTAATTAGTTTAAATGTATTTTAGTATTGATTTTTAGAGGTTGAGCTGTTCACTATCCAATGCAATGTGGTAATTTTATGTGATTTGACTTTGGGGTTAAACATTAGGGGAGTACAGGAAGAAATACTAAACAATATCAGATATGGTACTCCATTCCTATTAGTCCCTTGCCACTGTACAGCTGCTTTACTTAAATAATGTTTTTGGTAGGAAAAGACTTAATACTTCTTTTATACTTCTTCTTTTAAAGTGAATAAATACTGTTAAATAAACTTAAATTTAGACTGTATTCATTAGGTATCTTCATATTTTGTGTATTTTAAAACCTCAACCTATAAGCTAAAAATGTTTGTATTTTTTATGTCCCAACTCAATTGATCTGTAGATTTGCATAAAATATTCAAAATAACCTTTATTTCCCTCAACAAACTTAATTCCTTTGTTGATATCTTTTACAGGAAAGTGATACAGCTATCAGACCCCTGTAATGAGAAGTGTGGATGCTCGGGGAAGGAGTTCATGCCGATCTGTGGGATCAACAATTTCACATACTTCTCACCTTGTCATGCTGGCTGCCACGGCTCCCAGACTGCAGGAGACATTACTGTAAGATTTAGTAAATCGTCAAAATAAGCTTAGATGCACAATTGCACATGTTAAGGTGATTAATAAACAAAAGCAGCAAACTGACACACTTTCTCCAATTAGCTTGTCAACAGGTGTTTTATGGTGTTTTATTTGTATAAATCACTAGTATTGCAAATTGCAATATTAGCATATATCCATGCATAATATACTAAATGCAATTTCCAAATTGCATCTCAACATCAACAATAGTTTTCATGGACCTATAAATAAAAATTCAAGATGGACTCAGATAAACCGGTGTACACTTCAAACCTACCAACCATCTACAATATTTACATTTCAACAGCAACCACCCAAAGAACACCAAAAGATCCATACCGTTCTGTCAATCCATCAAAGGCAAAAGGATTTACAGCCACAATAATGAATTAAACAAGTTCAATAACAAAATATCTGACACATTCGTAAAAAGAGGTTATCCTAGAAAGCTGGTGGAGAACCAAATCCATTTAGCGTAAGACCATCCGCAACCAAAAAATGAAAAGCAAAATACTAAAAACATTACACTCGTCACAGTCTACCACCAAGGCAAGGACTAATTTCGTTAAATGGCATTTTAAAATAGGGTTTCAAGATCCTCAAAGCCTCTAACCGCACCATAAATTTTTTGAAAAATTCCAAAATTATTTTTTCCATTCTTGACCTTTGTTGCCACTGTTCTTCATTCTCATAAACCTCTCTATGTTATAGCCGTAATGTCTACCATTAATCAAGTGTTGTGTCTAGCTCTACTCCAACTGCAGCTGTATAGAGGAAGCTGGTGACAATGGTGTACAGGCTACTACACAGGTGTGCAAGTCTACTTGTCCTTTGTTGCCACTGTTCCTCATCCTCATGTACCTCTCTCTGTTATAGCAGTAATGTCTATCATTAATCAAGTGTTGTGTCTAGCTCTACTCCAACTGCAGCTGTATAGAGGAGGCTGGTGACAATGGTGTACAGGCTACTACACAGGTGTGCAAGTCTACTTGTCCTTTGTTGCCGCTGTTCCTCATCCTCATGTACCTCTCTCTGTTATAGCAGTAATGTCTATCATTAATCAGGTGTTGTGTCTAGCTCTACTCCAACTGCAGCTGTATAGATGAGGCTGGTGATAATGGTGTACAGGCTACTACACAGGTGTGCAAGTCTACTTGTCCGTTGTTGCCACTGTTCCTCATCCTCATGTACCTCTCTATGTTATAGCCGTAAGTCTATCATTAATCAAGTGTTGTGTCTAGCTCTACTCTAACTGCAGCTGTATAGAGGAGGCTGGGGACAATGGTGTACAGGCTACTACACAGGTGTGCAAGTCTACTTGTCCTTTGTTGCCGCTATTCCTCATCCTCATGTATCTCTCTCTGTTCTTTACCTTCACTGCTGCCATGCCTGCGCTCACCGCCACATTGAGGTAAGGGTGTTAATTAATGTTGCTCAAGTAAATAATATGAGTTTAATGTATATGTTATGATATGAATTGCAATTCAACCACACCTGTGGGCAACAATATGAAGTTTGGTTCCGCAGCGGTTTTGGGTGTCCATTTGCGCTGCCTTGGAAAAATCTTTACTCTTTGAATTTGAAAAATTATATGTATATTCCAAAGGTGAATAGATGCTAGATTTTTATTATTTGGCAAATACAAAATCCAAATGACTAATTTAGTAGAACTAAATCTACAAAAGTCGGTTCACTATCAAAATAATAAACAGAGGCAAAAGCTAGTAAGAAAAACTCCAATATATTGTTCTTTGGTATATTCCATAGCATCTGATGATCTGTATTTTCCTATACTTTATAAGGTAAAAACATTGTTACAGAGTTCTATTACAGTAAACTCTTTTGCGATTTTTTAATGTATTGTTTTTAGAAAAGGATATCTTTGACTAACACTCAATCAACTACCATCTAGATGGAATCTACAGTAGATCTAGTACAGAGAAGATTTCAAGGAAGTCATTTAATTTATTTGCTCACCATCTTCACTTGGTACTTACTACTAGACTTAAGTCTTTAAACCTATAAACCAGCAGATGGTTACTTCTTCTGATGATCCCTAACGATGCACAGATGTGTCAAATCGGACCAGAGGTCCCTAGCGCTAGGGATTCAGTGGATGCTGGTGCGGATGCTGGGTATGATCCCGGGACCTCTACTGTTTGGGATCATCATCGACGGCACCTGTCTGTACTGGCACGCAGGAGCTTGCAGTGAGGGAGAGGGCTCATGCATCCTCTACGACCACTACTTGATCAGCAGGTCAACTATACACAATCTTAGTAATAATATAAACTATAGTTTAATGTGTGTCAATCTGATTCATCATCTTTTGATTGCAAGACACAGTATAGAAACTGATAATTATACTTTTCATTAAAGAAATTTTCTGTTTGTAGGCTACTCTATTTGCTTTTGATTTTTTTTCTTCTGTACGTACAAATGGTCTTAGCGGCAAATACTGATAAGTAAACTAGGCAAAATCTTTACAATTACCTGTGTACATAGCTTTTTTTTCAACAGTTATTCAATAGCCATTTTCATTCAAGCTAAAAAATTTTTTTCTCTCTCTTTTAAAATAGCTATGGATCAATTTATTTTTTTAAATTTACTCTAAGGTTTTGTTTCACTTAGTGTTTGAGTGAAAATTTAAAAACGTACGTTTTCATGTCCCTGGCCTTTTATTTCGTAGATACTGGATTTGTAGTTTATTATTATGTGTTTTAATATTTTTTGGGACGGGGGCAACATGTTACACACATTTATTTGGTTTTAAATAGGTTCTAGGTATTTTTTTCGTATTTTTAAAGTCCCAAAATTCACGACCATGACGTGTCCCTAGGGTACATTTTCCAACTTTCACGCTGTTTTTAGACTAATTACTCATGCCGAAATATATAATGCCATATTTTTATGTGATCAATGGTTATTAAACTTACAAAAAAGGAGCATATTATAATTTTATTGTCATTACAAACTGACTACCATGACAAAATAAGTCTGTCCCTCGATTTGGCGTCACGACCATTTGGGAAATATTTTCAACTTTGGAACACGACAGTGGCAAGCCTGGCGTCGATGGAGTCAGTTGGTTTTAGAGACTAGTTCGGGGTGTACGTCAGGATTGTAGTGCCGGTCGTTTCGAGTTGAAAGGAGGAATTACAAGATTAATAAAGGATAGATTGTGTTTTTTGTAATTTTGGTGTGTCCATGACCGTACGTAGTCATTCGATGAAGTGGACATGGTGTTAATTTTTGTTTATAAGATATTTCAATTGCTAGATTAACCTAGAAGTCCACTTTGTATCCTCGAACATGAGGTGCAGGGCTACCGCCAGAACAGAGCCAAATAACACGTAATTTCACGACCAAAGTTTCACGACCATCGCGGGTTTTTTCACGACCAATCCAGCCTTATGGATTATAGTGTGTTTGGTCGTGACAATAACTTTAATATAATTGTAAATTGAACAGTTTAGTTCAATTGAAACACATATTTTTATTATAACTAACAGGATAATTGAATGATTGTTTAGAAAGATTTAGATTATTTCAGAAAATTCACGACCGTACCGCTTGTCCCTGACCATCACGTTTATGATTTCTATCATAAAAATTTCAAAAATTAAAATATCGTCATATTTCAATGTTTCATACACAAAAGAAGCACACCTCTATACAAACATAACAATTTTTCGGGTCTCAGGTAAGTTTTTTCAGAGTTATACAAACTTAAAAAGATTTTATTGGCTTTTTTTCAATTTTTTGAGTTTTTTTATTTTTTTCTAGAAAGACCAAATATACAAAAAGCTCAGTGACCTTTTTATTGTATAATGGTCATAAAAGTAAATTAGTTTATAGCAAAACATAGTTATAAAAATAATATTAACTATTTTTAATATTCATTTAAACGTCCGTTATGGTCGTGACAGGATTTTGTGTTTTTCCACTAAAGATGCTCTTTTAAAAAGAAACTACCAAAGATATTGCGTTACCATGGACATTTTATGAAACTGCAAATGGTAATGAAATAAAAAAAAATTATAAAAGTTTTGAAAAAAGGGGGAAAAATTTGCAAAGTGCTTTTCCTGAAAACGTACGTTTTTAAATTTTCACTCGTTTACATCACACTAAGTTTAGCCTCACCTAAAAGCATGGTTGCTTCTTCAAGTTCCCTTTTGCAAGTGTGTTGCCTTTTTTGCAACCATGATCTTGAAGTTTCTTTACAAACTTAATTCCACTGAATACTAGATTTAATGAATAATTTACTCCAGCCACAAATGCTGTAACGCTCTGCAATTCTTGTTGTAATTTATTCACACTTATTACAACATTGTATCAATGCATATCTCCTTTATATTTCTTTGGCTCCGGTTTAAGTATTTCAAATTTTGTATTAACTTGTAACATGTTTTATTTCAGATCCATGGTTTTGATGGGCTGCGGATGGAAGAGCTTGGAAATAATTTTGTTTGCCCTTTCAATATATTTTTATAAGAAAGATATTCAGACTTCAACCTCTAGAAGTTGATTTAATCATCATTCAGTTTGTACATATAATGTTTCTTTGTAGCATATCAATTAATACATTTATTTAAAACTATTTTTTTATTTATTTTTCTAAATATTCTGTGCTTTTATAATTTAATCAAAATAAAATAGTTTGTGTTTCCTAAACCAAAAAGTAACTAAAATGAAAATAGTTACCAAAGTATTCATCCTAAGTAAGAATAGTTAACCTAAGTGTTCATTGAGCCAATGTTACCCAACTTGGATCTTTGTAAATTTCATCACTTTATGAATTTGTTTGAATTGATTAAATTAATCAAAACCTCAAGTTGAAATCTGTCTAATCTGCAAGGTTTACTGAGTCAAGAATAGTTTTTTTTAAACAAACAAATTTTTATAAATGCGAGAGCAAACAATGTGAAAAGGGCATTGACTGAACCAATGAACCTATGGTTGAAGTTAGTCATTATGACTGTTAGCACATACAAGACGTTAGGCATAAGTGCTTCAAATAAAAGCTCAGCATTATAGTGTGAGGAGTTCTTGGTAACAAAAGATTTTTCTGGATAAGTATGAACTTTACCAAAAATAAAGTGTTTATGTTAAACAATGACAATTTTAACTTTTGACATAAATTGATTATGAAGTACCACTTTTGACTTAGTTTTTGCCTTTAAACGTTGATGCAAGAGATGATTCTTGTCCGTGTTGTGTTTGTGTTATTACTAACATGCAAAGCTTTAGCAGAGACAGTTCATGTACGTCGTCATCCTCGTTATCTTGTTTTTCCTCCAGGACTCGGGAATAAACTCCAGGTAAGGTGTGCCCTAGAATGAATGTAATAGTATATTACATTACCAGTACCAAAAGTGGCATTTTCCAGTTGGCACTTAAGTGTCATGTGTTTATATTAATTTCCAACAGATAGCTCCAATTACAACAATGCACACATTGTTAACAGAATTGTGGCAGAAGATGCAATGGCTTGAAACAAAAACAGTTATTGTATATTTTCCTGTCGGGTAATTGGAGAGTGAATTGTAATGTTTACAATTAATTCCTTATCATTTCACTTTAAACGAGCTATAGAAAATAAATCAAATCATTTATGTAAAACCATTGTTAGTAATGTTACCAAGGAGCAAAGATGAACACCATGTAAACACACATGCTTCAGATATAACAATATGATAAGAAGTTTCCTAACAGTAACTTAAAGCCAATTTCAGCAGATTCTTTTTTTATTGTTATTATTTTTTAACCAAGTCACTTTCATCAATTTATAGAGGATAGGTAGAGAGGACTTGCTAGTTCTAACTTCGCCTCTTAAATAAAGACATTTTTCATTTCATTTTATTTCAAGTCATTCTGTTTTATATATTTTGTATCTTTTCTCCCAAATGAGGCCAATCATCACAATTTTTAAAACTTTCCTCTCACTTTTGATGGTAAACTTAGAACTGTTCCATTTATTTTACAAAATATTTAACTTTTAATCTTTTACCCAGATCATCTGTGGGTTTGGTGTCCCCATTGACGCTCCTCGTACCAGTCTCACCTATGGACTTATCCTCAAGACTAACTACGTCCTGCCCACCAACGCCACGCAGTTCACTGATCCTTATGTAGCATTTGCTCGCCGTGGGATCGGAGCTTCTCGCTGGCATCTCTACTATACTGCTGAGGCTGTACTGTCTAGGTTATATTTACAATGATATTGACATTTTTAACTTGATAATCAATTATTACTTTTAAACGGTTAAACAACTGGTAAAAACATTCTAAAATAGATTTTGTTTTTATTTGATGGCGGAACATTTTATGAAAATTGGTATAATCAAATTGATGATAAATCCTTGTTCTTCAAAAAGTTCAATTGGTTAAGAAGGTAATTTATTTAAAATGTTAAAAGGAAGAATCACCTTATGTAACGGTTATCTAACGGGTTCATGCCGTTTACATACCTAATCTTGGGGTATTTTTTGTCTTTTATACTATCTATGCTTGGGGAATTTCAAGTAAAGGAACCGCAACATCTTATTTACTTAGAAAACATATGTGATCAGTAATCTTAACATAATATTGAAATAACTCCTTTTTTCCAATAATCTTCCCAAGCTGTTTTAGGAAAAATGTGTTTTGAGTAATCTCTCGGAGTTTTAATCTTTTACTCCTTTGACTAAACTCTCACATCTGCATCGCACAGGCTTGGTATAGGAGGTCGAAGTTGTTTGTTAAGAGCCGTCTGTGAAGCGGCCGAAACTCCTCTTCACCACAACGGGCTGCTGGGAGAACTGCTCCACATCCTGCTCACGTTAGTCATTGTGGTATTAAATACATTGGTAATTTTAAATTTTACAAATAATGTTTTAAACATTATGCTTAAACATTATTTGTAGACAACACTGGTTGTCAACATAACATGTCTTAAAGATTTTGTTGCAAACTTTAATGTATTGTAAACAAAATTTTAAGCTATGGACAAATATGCATATTATCTGATTAAGAGGGTTCCCTACCCCCGCCGAAAAACGTCAGAAAACCGCTTCGCGCGGTATCATATAGCGATTCCAGTTTAAACATTTAAATTGTGAACCATACACCATTTTGTATATAAAGAGTGGTTCTACTAAGTTTGCTTTTTAAAAAATGTCTATGCTTACGCAATCAAGGGCAACGACTTGTCAAAGTTAGTGAACTTTACAGTTGAATAATAATATCTTTTTTGAAATTATCGATTTTTAATAAAGCAATATCAGTGCGAAATTTAACTAAAAATATCAAGTCACTTTTAGTTTCAAGAAAAGATTATTTTTTGTATGTGCAAAATGAAACCGCGTAAAACCTTGCACGGCGAAAAGTGCTATGATTCTGACGGACTCTAGCGGCCTTTATCGAAACTACTGTCTCGCGGAGGGATACCAATTTTACACATTCTTCATTCATAATATTTCCCCCAAGATTTATCCATGACACATAATAACATTTAATTATTATAAACCAGTTAAGCAGTATAAATAAATATAGCCAAGAACCTGTTGATAATATAAAAACGTTCAGCCATATAGGTTGTAGCATATTTGTTAAACTTCCACTGCGGAGTGCGGAAGCGTCCTGGCGGTGACACGACCAGCAGACAGCAATCCTAGGGAATATTTTGTCGTCTTGTAGTTCCAACTAAACTCACCAGGGTCGCAGAAAATTGAAAACAGTCCGAGGTAGGGAACCCCCTTAAGATTAAATAATACATTGAAAGAACAGAATACAAATTAAGCACAGCTGATTAATTTTTGACAGTAGGTATATAGAAAGTTCCTGTCCTAACAGGATTGCAGCTTTAATGTTACGTATGATATGTTAAGTATGAAAAAAAGAATAGTTGTTGCATATTATGTACACGGTTCATGAGGGTGTGACTTGTATTTTTGTTCATGGGCAGTTTTGATCGATAGATTACTTGGCAAGGAATTTTGTTTTAACTATATTCAATTCAAGCTTCTTGATAATTATAAACATGTAATCGCTCACAATAATGTTCACAGTCCCACCTCCACTGAGGATGAGCCTATAGACTCCAGTGTGCTGCATTACTACGCAGCAGAACGCTACGGCAGAGCTCTGCTCAGCAATAGTTCCGCAGCACCTTGCAGTCAGCATTACGCAGCTTGTGATACGGGACTCTTGGACATCGTGTCAACCCTCGTATCCGACTCTCTATCGTCACTTCTCTGAAATCTTGCTCATGTATACTTAAACTTTATTGAATTAAAAGTGTTTGTATTATATGTCTCAATTTTTTATTTCCATTTACATTTTACATTTTGATGTGTGTATATCCACACCTTTTTATGTAGGAGAACTGGGGCCCATTTCATAATAAAGTACAAACTAATACTAGGAGTACGCTCCGAAGTCACGTATGAGAATGAACGAAGACCATACAAGCAATTTGCCAACAATAACCATATTCATATCAGCTGATTAAGCAGGATGGTTTATGGCAAAGCCAACCTTGGTCCAAGGTCATAAAGCAGGTTTGATCAAATCCACAAAAAGGAACAGACAAATATTCCCAGTTTCTGCGATTTATAATCGAAGAATATATTTCAATGTGTTACAAAAACAGCAATTGCTCTAATATGCTGAGTAATAGTAATATCGGTTTCACAATCTATCACCATAGGAGCTGTACCATTTTCAAATACCCCTGCTGTAGCAAACCTGCAAACTAAGCGAATTTCCATTTACCTAGCTGGATTTTTACTAAAATATTCCCTTATAAATGTAAGATTTATTTCATAGTACCAGGGGACCGAGCTTTGTTCGGGGAAAATCATTAGAGTTTACTCTGAAAGCAGTCTTAGTATTGCAAATACATTAATCCATCTCAAACTCCGCAATGCTCGCTCTTACTACTTCCTTCCCATAGCATTTTAGGATTTCAGATACATTATTGTAAATGCCACTCTGCACTGCTAGCCTTACTACTTCCTTTACCATTTCCTACGTCATGGGCCTGTTTCCTTCCATTCTCATAGCATTTAAGTATTACAGATAAATTAATCTAACTAACACAATGGTTCCCACACTCTGCGATGCTACACTTTACTACTTTCTACACCACTTCCTACTTCGTGGACCTGTTTTCATCTTATTTCATAACATTTTAGTATTTTAAATACATTAGTCTAATTGCCACAAACATCTCCCACACTCCGCACTGCTAGCATTTACTACTTTCATTCACCATTTCCTAGGTCATGGACATGTTTCCATCCCTTCTCATAGCTTTCAGTAATGCAAAAACATAAATCTAACTGTTACAGACGGTTTCCAGTTCCCACACTGCTCGCAATTACTACTTCCTTCACCACTTCATACATCACGGACCTTTTTCCTCCCTTCCCATAGCATTTTAAGATTGCAGATACCTTATGCTAACCGTCATAAATAGTTCCCACTCTCCAGACTGCTCGCCTTTCCTACTTCCTACGTAGCGGACCTGTTTTACTCCCTTTACATATAATTTTAGGATTTCACATACCTTAATCTAATCGTAATAAACAGATCCCACACTCCGGACTGCTCGCCTTTTCTACTTTCTACGTAGCGGACCTGTTTTACTCCCTTCCCATAGCATTTTAGGATTGCAGATACCTTAATCTAATCGTCATAAACAGTTCCCACACTCAGGACTGCTCGCCCTTACTACTTGATGGTATATAGTGTAAGTTTATAAGAGGTTACAACATAGAAGCATATTATTTTATACTTATATACAAGTTGATGGTTTGTTGTGAGATTAAGTTAACACATGGTTACATACTTCAAGGAGGAGATGAGTATTGGCTATGACTATTGATACCCATTAGTCAATGGCGAAGATGATGTGCATGAGATGATAGCCTTAATACTGATAATATCAGCTGGTCCTTTAACCATAGAACCTAAACTACCAATGAGCAAAAGCAAATAAACCACCAGTTTTAAAACCATTAAATTAATACTTAGCACTCATTATTCAATACCACAGTAGCTAACCCACTAGCTAAAAACAAAACTAGCTAACCTGACCACTCTTTGTTGTCACACCCAATGTAATTAGCAAATCAAACGTAATCCAACGATAAGAGGTAGAGTTGAAAGTATTGTGCAAAATACTTCCTAGTTAGTTAGTTTCATGATGTTTCAGTCCAGGTAACTGAAACCCCACTGGATTGAGGCTATTCTATAGTAATACCAGAAACAAAAGAACCCTGGGCCGTTTCGAGCCGCGCAGGTTTGAATGGTACGCCACACCTACCGGCGCAAACCACATGATCTTTTCGTTTCTGCGCAGGTTGTTTTGTTCTTGGTATGTCTATAGAAGTCCTCTTCAGCCTTTCATTGCTTGGATCCTACACTGATCCACCAAGGAAATAAATTATCAATCTTAGAATATTTTTTTTATATTAAGACACAAACTACGGTTGAATATAAATCAATAGTTTAGTAGTAGGATAAACATGTTTTAATATGATTTAAATGCAAATGCATACATCACAGGTCGTAGTAAAAAATGGTTAACTAACGGCATAAAGCAGTACTAACATGTTCCGCACATTTCACCAAGAGCTGTGAATGGAAGCTTGTTAAGACAGTCATGTTAAGCTACTTGGTCGTGAGTGGTCAATAACTGAGGTATACATCTGTAATAGGAGCTCTTCCGAATCATCAACTGCCAGAATGAAGTAAGATACTTTTTTATCCTTCATCGTTGGTATTCTTTTTAATTTATCCATTTTAATTTTATTGCCAACATTGGACCACTCAATTCAATTTGATGTTGAAATTTGTTATTGAATCATACCTTTTTTATAATTTCTTTGTTTGTGGAATACTATTTATTCTGATCTTTTGTTGTTGTGGTATATATCTGAAACAATTGGGTTACATTGGTAATCTAAATTTATATAGTGCATAATCTTGATATTAAACTCCTAAGTTAAGCTAAACCGATGACTTTTAGCTTAAAGTAGATGTCCACGGACCAGGGAAATAGGTTCTCAATTCTTTTGTCTCTTATTCAACCTATTTTTTTTTACATAATTTTGTCTGATGTGAGTATATGATCGTTGTTAGATTAATAACTTTAATTTTCCATTTAACATAGCATGACGTATTGTTCTTTCACTATCTGTAGACAATGAGGAACAATGAACATCTGCTAGCATTATTTACATTACATACTAGAGGTCGCCCCGTGGTTGAAAACTCGACTAAAAGTATGTAGTGTCAAACTTCTTTAATTTCACCCCATGCTGAATGTGATTGGAATTTCTTCCATTTTTTTTGAATTTCTGTTTATATATTGTTGTTATTTCGTCACCAACATGGCAACCCATAAGGCCCATGTTAATTTTATTTAATTTTAAATACATTTTTTTGCTTACTTTTTAGTCTATTTTAATTAATAGTCAAAGTATTTTTTATTTCCAAAAAATATTTTTAAAAATTTGAAAATAGAAGAAATTTGAAGAAATATAAAACCATTTCTTAGCATGTATTTTAAAAATACAAGATAATAAAGGGATTCTGATAAAGATAAAGGGAATAAAGGGATTCTGCACATCTAAAGGCAAATATCTTTCTAGACATGTCAAGAACAAAACAAACTGGACATAAACGATAAGATCACGTGGTTCGCACCAGTAGGTGTGGCGTACTCTTCAAACCTGCACGGCTCGAAATGGCCCAGGGTTCTTTTGTTTCTGGGATGTCTATAACAGTATGCGTAGATTTTCCCTGCGATGCACAGGAGCTGAGAAAAAAGTTTTTCAATAAATATGCTTGTCTATTGATATGATATATATAGACTTAGCCCCGTTAAACCTCCATAGGAAAAGTTGAATTTCCATTTTTACCCAATTAACATAAATATTCTCAAAATACAAATAAAACCTGCACATATAGGACCGATAACCTATCTTTTGGTACTACCCACATGTAAATCAGTCCAGTAGTAAGCGGTCAGGGTAGCTGTCGTAAGCTTAAAAATTTGGCCCCATGTTAAAGCTCCATAAGAAAAGTTTAATTTCCATTTTTGCCCAATTAAAATAAATATTTTCAAAATACAAATAAAACCTGCACATATAGGACTGATAACCTTTCTTTTGGTACAACCCGTGAGTAATTCGGTCCAGTGGTATGGTCAGACTAGCTGTCATAAGTTTTGCAAAAGTGTTTTAATATATTGCTCTTTAGCTCTAAAAGTACTGTATTTAGCAAATAGACAGTAACCCTGCACTCTCTATCTTTGTTTCCAGGACAGTTGTTTTACAACTTTTAACATTTATTGTCTCATACTCCAGTGCCTCTGTTGTTATGACTGGTGGAGGAACTTTCAAGGTAAGTAACGAGTCAAGTTAAATACTTTTCACTTTTCACCCTAAACTAAATCATTTTTTGTGTTACATGTTATAATACAATAAAATAATTATTTTTTTACATTTTTGTTGTTATTATTATGTTGAAATGTTAAAATCTCAACTAAAAGTTGTAACGAAAAACTAACTTAAAATACTAACTAATAAAGCTGTCCATAAGTATTATTTCTATTCTGAAACTAAGATTTTTCCATGGAGTTAGAGGGAATCGACAGAGCAGTTTCTTAGAAATTGTGCCAGCAAGCAAACCTAACTCGGATTAGAGTTTAGGAGGATTGGTTAGGACTGCTGAAGAATGGTTTATTTGTGTTGTATCATATTATTAAGAACTGTCTCCTTATATCATTGTGCAATGTGTATCCAAAATCCAGTTTAATATGTTTTCTGATAAATGTTATCAGCTGATCATGGGATATTCTATTCCTGTGGATGTTCCAATGCCGATGGGGATCAACTACGTTCACAACTTCCAGTTCCAATATCCTACAGTCACCAACGCGTCACAGGTGGCGTATGTACAACAAGGCGCGAGGGACAACCAGCGGCAACAACGAGCAGTCACTCGTAAACACGTATACAATATCATCCAGGACATGCTGCTACAGTGATTATCTCATTATAATGCAAACTATAATATATTGATGTTGCATCTTTGTCAATAGTTTGACATATCAATAGTATAGTAAACACTAACATAATCGTAAGAGACAAAATAAATTAATCACTTAGCACAGAGAAGCAGGATACATAGGATACAAGCTTATCGGACAACCGTGCGCATTTAGCTCTGGAATGTTGGGGCGGAAATGTACTTGTAACGAGCAAGGATGAAGAGCCAAAACGGCGATGACCACATAGGATTTTTTTTGTATAGCAGTTGTAGCTCAGAGGGTCTTCCTACAGCGTGAATGCTGTAGTATGTGATGGCGAGGGGGAAAATTAGAGCAGGAGCGGACAACAAATAGAATTTGCTCTAGATACCAGCGACTGCTAGACACCACTTCAGTGTACCATTGAATGTATCCTCTGTATCTTACTTCTCTGTGCACTTTCTAAATAGCTGCTTTTATGCATTAGCAACATTGAAAACAAATTAAGCCGTTTAGAGAGGTTATCTATTTGTGAAAAGTATTTTTGTTTTCTAATTTAGTTTGTTATATTATGTTGCAATATGACAAATAATATAGTTCATCATACGGGCAAAAAGTGTCTTTTCAACCCTTGCCCTTTTTCTGACGTCGGTTGTTAAACTAAAACTCGGATCGAAAAGAGTCACTTTACCCCCTAGTGATTAAATATACTATTTACATCTCATGCAGCCTTAAACCTCGCACTGTCTAGATACAAATTTCCCTTAAATAATAACAAAATCTATTGATGAAGGTAAATTTTCATTATCTCATTAAATCATTACGTAACGTTTGTTTTACAGCAGTGGGTTGGACGGATCTTGCCTGCTTCGCTCAGTCTGTGAAAGTAGTGAATCTCCCATAATGCATAGTGGTCTCATCGGTGAACTATTACAAACTTTACTGACGTGAGTATTAGTATATGTTGTCTTTTAACATATTTCAATATAATTTATCTTCTAACTAGAGTGGATATTTAAGTCAGATCAGCAAATTAAACTCATTATGTCATCAAATCTATTTATAAATTAATAATTGTCTAGGTACTAAGTCATTATTTTTTTATAGAGGGCCATGCTTATGATAGACCATGGGATTGCATGGCAGCTGAAACAGCTTTTTGAGCACCCTCATTCATAGGTCCTCATTCTCCGTAAAATCCCAGGTTCTTAGTGAACCATGAGATCCTTTGGACTTTGTTTACCTGTTCTTCCCTTTGATCTGCGTTCAATAAGCCAAGGGATCTCACACGCAGACCTTATAGGGCTGGACACATAAATACGTTCGTTGCCCCTGTTGAGGTGGGGACAGAACAAACATTGAGACCTTCACAGCTTTCACAAGGTTTCTGGCTGGGGCAAGCTGGAGCGGGATTCTCCCAAAGGGACTCAGCTCCTGAACTTGCTTGACCAGCCAATCCTTTGTGGCTGCGTTAGCACAACCAACACCCAAGGCTCCGCCTTTAATATGAAAGCTGCTTATCCTGACGTCTTTGCCACGAATGGCACGCCTGGACAGCTCCCCCTTGATTTTGTTGGCTTCTGCCTGTTGATTTTCTGACAGCTTCATGTCTGGGTGTTCAGTCTGGTGATGGTCATCTTCTCCACGGACAGTTTCTCCAAATAGGTGGGAGCTGGTGCCCTCTGTGAAACTCTCGACCCCTCTCCCTCTTTCGTCCTCGTCTTCTTCTTCTCGCCCCTGGCATCCCCAGGTGTCAGGTGCTCTTTCCCCCTTTCTTCGTTTTTGGGGTGCCGCCCTCTCCCTGCTTTTTACCAGCATCCTGGTTCCCAGAGGAACCGGCTTCGCTGGGAGCAAGGTTAGGGTGCTTAGCAGCCCACGCCAGCCAAATCTCCTTTTGGAGAGCACCTTTTCGCCCTTGGCTAAGGCATCTGCTATCCTCTGTGTTCACATCTCGCTCCTGGAAAGTTGTTTTATCGGCTCTTTTCCGGTTTCTGTGAGCTTGCCTTCACCGTCAGATTTCAGTAGACTTTCCTCCTCCATTGGGGTCAGATCGTCTACGCTCAGTCCAGCAATAGGAATGCTTTCGACCTGTCGGTCACACTCTTCTTGCACATCAAAAATGGTTTAGTGGATTTTTTTTGTTGTTTTTATCAAAAACATCCATATTGTTCCCACGAGTACTGGGTATCTAAGGTCCATCTCCCCAGTGATCCAATTAGAGAGTTGAGAGGTACATACGACTGGGTTCCCCCTGGTTCCCAGAAGGCTCTGTTAAGACATTGAATATTAGGCCCCCAGTGTCACAAGACTCTCAGCACGGCTTGCATAACACCTTAGTATAGGGCCCTCCTCACTTGGTTCTGTAGGTGGACTAACACCTCGTGGCGGAAGGTAGCTCTCTGCAGCTAAGTGAGAGTTGGAGTTTAAGATGTGTTTAATCTGCCGATCCAACCCCGGCCAATCTGTGTGAGGTTTGGCCGGAACGGCACCAAATGTTCTCCGATTCCCTAAACCCCCATACCTTCCCTGAGTCATTATAGTTCACACCTTCAAATTTGAATGTTGCTGGTTCAAATCCAAGCAAGATTGTTTCTGGAACCAGATACCACTATATTGGGCTATCAATCAACGATGCTCTAGTAAAAGGTCGACGTTAGATAGTAACAAGACCAGGGTTTAGACCGTTCCCTTAAAAAACCTAAATAATGTCAAAAGCATAGTACATATAAACATAATAAAATATTTACAAATAGTGTTTAAGATGTAGCTTTAAATTATTTTTTTAGCTGAACATGATGTTTTCACAGGCCGCAAGATCCAGACGAGGACAGCGAGTATGGGGCAGCGTGGAGGGCTGGACTAGAGGGACAGAACTGTTCTACCCTCTACCCGCTGTGTCCTAGAGGACTCACCATGCTTGATCAATTCAGCCACTACTACATGTAATGAGTTATTCTCAAGCTGATCCATGTGAATCTCTCATTTGCACTTCATTGTATGGTAGAGGATATAAGAGAGATATTTTGTCAACAATTTCCAACTTACAAACTCCCTGTAATCTAAAAAGTTTTCAGGCCACAAACCAGTTCTTCTTGATACAAGGAAATGTTTGTTTCTTATATTTTAGGCATAAACATTTTTTAAATAATTTTTTTTATCTGTAAATTTATACTAATAATCAAGGACAACTGTTTTATAAGTGTCATGTTTACGTCTTTTTTTAAATATCCATACTTGATAGATGAATATATATAAGATAGATGAGCCTGTATTACTCTTTGGACGATACAAAATTTAACACTCATCCTTCCTTCACTAACTTTTGCTTTAAAATACACAAGCCCTGGCGTGTCATCTTATCTGTAAAATATTAATAAATCAATCAGTAACATAACATAATACATTGTTAAAATACATTGTTTACACTATTGTTGCTACCAGTCATATCTTACAACGTTCCGAACCCGTTTCATTGTTTCTTAAACTTTTTGCTTTATGGAGACAACTTCATCTGGTCATATGGTCAGCTAACAAAAACGTATGGATTGTTTTGAATCACTTTTCAAGCTGATGATGCCGAGTTTGCCATGAGACAGGGTGTCTCTTTAGTCAATTCTTCTTGGAGGTTGTTATGGAGAGAAGTAGCAATATATTTAAGGTTTTAAAACAGGACATACATTGTAAACAGATCTAATGCTTTTTGTGGGACAACCTCCATGTTAAAGAATTGTAAAGTGTTTTATAATATGTAGAAGGCTATACATTGATCATAAGTGAGTTATATTAGTAGTAAACAAATAAAATTATATTTTTAGAGGATGGATTTTGGGTTTAAAATATAGGTTTAAAATATTGTATAATTAATATTTTATTATTTATAGACAGTCAGTGGTAAAAGAAATATACAATACAAAAATTACTTACACTATGAATTAAAAAGTAACATTTCTTCCAATTATTATACATATTTGGGAAAACTCCTTGAGGTAGATATAGTCAAGCATTGTTGCACTATCACAACTTTTTTATATAGAACAACAGATATATTTAGACAGATTTGACAAAAAAAAAAAAAAACACATTATCTTAAAATATTTATAGTGTTGATTCTCTTATAGCTAAGGATTGTAAACACTCATTCTTCAATAGGTACCAGGCAACAAAAATATTTTAATATTGTTATCTTTTTTACAAAAAATTATTAAGTAAAAAATTCCAGAACAAAAAAATTATGACTACAAATAACATTTTAAAGCAAAGCAATATATAGATTTCTCACTATATTACTATCAAGGAACTCAAAAACTGAAATTCTGATTTTGTAATTTTGAAAATGTAAATAACTATCTATACTTATAATACACATCTAATTTAAAGGCAAATAGATTGGATTTTTCATCAAATCAAATTAAATGCCACTTTGTGTTGATGGTTCGAATAAAACCACTTTAAGCGTTATACAGTATTTTTGAACTATTATACTACATGAATATAATTTTCAAAATTAAATACCTCTACAAATTATTATAATTATTTAAATTCCGCCATCTTTATAAAAAAAGCTTAAAAGGGGCTTTGTGATGTAGGCCTTCCTAATATTTAACCCTTGATTCATGACTATATTTGCTATAGTGCAGTCAAAAGTAAAATAATCAAAGGAAGGCTGCGTTGTAGTTTTTATACAAACATATTAATGAGTACAAATAATAATAATATCCAACATGGAAACCAAAGAACAGGTACTCAGATATATTTTAGTTTTCACAATATAACTCTCTTATATATAACTCATAGCTGATATTTAATAATTATAAAGAAAAAGGCAGCCATATCAATAGACCATACGCAAATATTTTTATTAATTTTTTAAGCACATTTATGGAGATAATTTTGAAACTAGGACATAAAAAAACAATTTCTCTTTATAATTTTGAAAAGTTACAACGAAATTAAAAACAACCTTTCTTACACAAATTATTACCAAGATATTTACATTACATTTTGAGTTAATTTTTAAATAGTGTAATATAATATATTAAAACCTACTCTGATGTATACAAAAATAAATGCTACAAATATTCAACAAAGGTATTTCAACAATCGAGCACTGCAATAACTAATTTCATACGTAAGACTCGTTTACAGATTTTCCTAATGACTATTTACACTGGCTATTTACGTAAACATAGGTCATATAAAAATACTAACTGCACATATTATTCAACACTTATTTACAGTATTCACATTAGGCCTATCTAAAGCTAAGTTGATAAGTTGGTTAAAAGTCAAATATTTACACTGTACACATCTATCTCTACACTCGTAAGCACCTGACGTTGGTAATGCTAACGGACCGAGAGAGAGGTCAGTATTGAGGATTGGGAGAGTTACGGGGGTGCTGCTGAAGGTAGGGGGGAGGGGGCCCAGCCACGGGGATTCCTACGTTTTGTTGCGGACTTTGACGAACATTTCCTTGCTGGAAGTTACTAGCTTGTTTGATGTTCTGGGCATAATTTCCACGGTTCTGCTGGTTTCCTTGATTACTCTGGTAGGATCCGTAACTGGAGTCCGCCGAGTCTTGCCGTCTTGTTCCATAAACTGACTCTGGTCTGCCGGGAATCTTCCCGTATATTCCACCGGTGCCGTTGTTGATGGATCGGACACCGTAGACGCTCTCACCACCGAGACGCTGTTGGTTCTGCTGGTTCTGATTGGCCGCGTTGGTGTTGCTGGTTGTACTGTTGAGCCTCATTGGATACAGGGACTGAGCAGGGACCAGGGGGCCTGGCCGAGGTACTATACCTGCAAATATAGATAGAGCATTAGGATTGCATGAATATAATTGTTAAATATAGGCCAACCTACCTAAAGTTAATATAAATGGCTATCTATTATAGCCAAAAAATCGTTTACTCTTTAGGGTGTGTATTATAAATTACATTTGTAACATCAACACCATAAACAACCTAGGCGATAATTTCTTTATATATATTTAATCAATTTTTAGATCTTTGCATATAGAAGTACCATTGAGAATGAAAATTCTTATGGGGCTAATGAATGTCTCAGTTTTTTTTCTATTTTGGATCAGTAGCATTGATCAAAACTACCAGTTTTGAGTGAAAGAGTAATAAATAAATTGTGACCAAATAAGCACTATTTTTACATATAGATTCTAAACTGTCACTCCTAACAGTTTGCTCAAGACACAAGAAACGAGTTTGTCCTTCATAAATTTCATGTGAAGCGCATTTTACTAGGTAAAGTACTACTAAACGAGTGAAGTATTACGTTGTTTGAAAGTGTTATATTTGTATGGGTTCTAATTGAAGGATTTTCTATGGTTTCAATATATTTTTCAACTAATTGTAAACTTGATTCTAAATAACAATGCCTCTACACAAAATGATAAGGTCAGATGTTGTTATTGCAGATATAGATTTGTTCATTTGCAATACAATAAAGCAGCTGTTACAATAAATTTACTACACTATTAAGTAATGCCTATTGATCAAAACTAATCCTACCCTCTCTGTGTACGATGGGTCCGGAAGACTTGGTGTAGACGGATTGTGATCTGTTAAGGTTGGCGCGTGTGAGTGGAGGAGACTTGGCGTAAAGTGACTTGGTGCCTCCGTATAGGGACTCCACGCGGTCTAGCTTACACGGCGGCGCTGAGTACAGACTGGCGCAGTAGCCTGGTGCTCCTGTAACAGAGAAAGTCATCACTATAATATATTTACTAGGAAATGCTGTATAAATTGCTGGGAAATCTTATATCTTTTTTATTAGATTGTTGTGAGAAAAAGGAAAATGTGGAAAAGATAAAAAGAAGAAAAGGAGAAAATTTCTTCTTTGTTTTTGTGGGTGTCGACTATCATAATTTTTAATGTGCGACTAAAAAGGATTTTGTGTTCGTAGTGATATGAACATGATGCTACAGGAGCGAAACACATAATCTTAACATAACAGACGACTACATGGCAGATTAAGACATTGTATTTCTAACCTTTATTCGTTATAAAGAGATTAACTCTTTGGAATTCATCAGGAAAACTATAATGCTATAATGCTCAAAACACGGTATATTGTTTTTACTATAACTTTTTAAGTAAAAGGTTTCATGGATTTAACATATAACATTGAAGTTGTATCTCTCAGTAATAAGACAGACAACTATTCTTCTCCAATATACAGTTAATGTCGTTCTGACATTTTTACCATGAATTTTATTGTTACAGGATAGTGATACAGTAATACTCTTTATTTTCTTGCTAAAACAAATCAAGTAACAATTCTACAGAAACCTTATGGTTTTCACAAGTGTAAATCACGAACTCCAAATATGAACTTTGATAAACTGATAGGGTATGAACTGACCATTAGGTGAAGCTGATGTGACAGGTCCGTAGAGCGCTGCGCCAGGCTGCACTGAGCGCAGAGTATTGTATGTTGAGCGCGGCTTGTCTAGCTCATCATAAGTGTCCTCGTCTGAGTGAATACTAGAAGAGTCTGAAACATTCAAGTCAATGTTACTTTAATCTAATAATCACCGGTGTACAGGATGTGGAAGATTAGTTTAGAAAACCCCTAATTGTTTATTGAGGAAAATACGAAATAGTGTACTCCTAATGATTTTCATCATTAATTAAAATTCTAGTCAGGTAAATATCAAATGTTAAAGATAACTAACTATAATTATGTGTTGCAATGGTTGAAATAGAGAAAAATAGCTTTTCTTTTGAGCAACAAACTTGATAGATGAACTATTCTCTCTGTTTATTTTAATTTAACACAAATATTTATTCTGCTTTTAGTATGCGTATGTATCAAAGCTTACCTCCATCAATAGACTCCTTGGATTGGTTCCCGTGTCTTCTGGGGTTGAATATATACTCGTAGATTAGACCTGCAGCGATTCCTCCCAAAATGGGGCCGAACCAGAACACCTGGAAAATAATAACTGTTACTTATTTATTTCTCTTACCGGTACATATCCCTCTTTTTTAATCGTCAATTACAATCAACAAATTAAATTTCAATATTTGGTATCGTTAATTAATTTAATTATAAAAAAAAA